AGATTAATACTATAATATGTTGGAGCTTTAGCTAAAGAACATAATTTTATTGTTTGCTGTTGATGTCAGTTGAACAACCCAGCATATTAAAATTACATATATAAATATATATACAAGTTTTTATTTTAAAATAAATTAGACATCTAATGGCGTTGGCACCGCTTTAGTGATTATAGCCGAATCAATATTAGTGCGCCATTCCACTTTTCTTTTCTCTGTCTGGCGCCAGTTGGAGATACCAAGTAAAGCCAGGTCACTCTCCACCTGATTTTTATAACGAAGTGGAGGTCTTCCTCGAATATTTTCAAAGATGGTGCTCTTTCTTCCATTTGGACGACATGACCTAGCCAGCGTACGCGCTTTCTCTTCAGTCGCTGAACTATGTCAATATCATCGTATAGATCGTACAGCTCATTGTTCCATCGTCTGCAGTATTCGCCGTTGCCAGTGCACAAAGGACCATAAATCGTTCTCAAAACTTTTCTCTCGACTCATCAGATGTTAATATCGACCACGCTCCTGCGCCATATAGTAGGACTGGTATGATGAACCACTTGCTGAGTTGGGTACCAGAGAGAGTATACTTCACTTTTCAATCGCCTACTCAATCGAAAGTAGCACCTGTTGGCAAGAGTGATTCTACGTTATTATTGGTGATGATGCTGATTCCTATATAGACGAAATTATCTACGATCTCGAAGTTATGACTGTCGACAGCGACGTAGAAACCGAGTCGCGAATGCTATGTCTGTTTGTTTGATGACAGGTCTTGTCCTTGTTTACTACCGGACCCATATACTTCGCTTCCTCATCAAGTCTGGAGAAAGCAGAACTCTCGGCGTGGTTTCTAAAGCCAATAATGTCGATATATCGGCGTACGCTAGCAGCTGTATTCTATTATAGAAGATTGTATCTTCTCTATTTAGCTCTGCAGCTCATATTATTTTCCCCAGCAATAAGTTAAAAAAGTCGCACCATAATGAAGCACCCTATATGAAACCTCGTTCGGTATCGAACGGCTCTGAGAAGTTGTTCCCGATCCTGTCGTATAAGTTTTGCGGGGATACCAAATTCAGACTTAGCGGCGTAAAGTCAGGTCCTATTCGCGCTTTCGAAGGCGAGTTTAAAATAGACGAAGAGGTGGTGGGTGTCTATCTTCTTTTCATGGGTATTTTCGAAGATTCGGCGCATGGTGAATATCTATGTCCAGCATGCTTTCATCCGACCATTTTTTGCAAAGAAACTAATACATGCATATTATCAGTCCTTCACCGTCGTAGCTCGGCCGCTAATCCATCGGTCGCCGCCGCTTTGTTGTTTTTTAAGTGGGCGATTGCGATTCGGACATCTTCATATTCATGTAACGGAACAACTTTTTCATCGTAATCAATTGGCGTTTCGGGCTCACCATCTCCGGGTGTTTCATTTTCACTGCCATTCAGCCGGCTCGAGAAGTGTTCTAGAGAAGTGTTCTATACATAAATTCAGTATACTCTGGGTATCCGTCAATAGATCACCTCTCTGGGTCCTCAAAGAGGTTGATCCGGTCTTGAAACCTTCCGAAAGTCGCCGTATGTTTTTTTCGAGTCTTACCCTTTTCGGCCAGCTTCCCAAGCTCCTCTTTCTTCGGCCTCTTTCTTTTTTCCCTAGAGATGCGTCTTGCTTTCCTCTTCAGATCTCGGAATATATTCTACTCCCTCGCGTGTTATGGTCGATTGCAAGGTTGCTATATAATATTATGTTTGACCACTGTGTGACCACAGGATGGGAGTCTTTCCACCGTATCTACCTACCCTACCATGAACAAAATTTTTGTGCCTGGAAATTCACTTATGTATTTTTTTCAACTCACATTTATTCTAACAAAAATCTTATTTATTCATAGACGAGTAATGTTTGATAACAAGGCTAGGTCCCTAAAACTATACAATTTTTATTCTTTCTATTGAAAATTAGAATAAAATACATGCATGGTCATGCATATGGCCAAATTGAATGAAAGTATTTTTCCATTAACTAATACGAGAATCAAGTATAATGGAATTTTAAAAGTCAAAAAATTGTAAAACTTATTGATAAGCAAAAAGAAAAAAATTGAATTAAGTAAAATAAACAAAAAATATTAATTTAAATTTAATTGCCTTAAAGGGCAAAGAAAACGTCATAGTAGGGAATGAAAAAAAATTAAGAAAATATGGTATAAGTACCAAAAAAAAGAAAAATTGAGAAATAGCAAAACAAAAATTTTAAATCAAACAAAGTTTTCTAGAGGAGAGAGGTGATTAACTTTTTTCATCCGGAGTTTAATAGGAATATGTATAAATAAAGAATTTTAAGAAATTTATTTATTTATCCGATTTTTAAATTATATATATATATGTATATGAATTATGAGAAAAATTCGCGATGGTTTTAAACACAAATTAATAAAAATTGAAAACCAAAAAAAAAAAATATTTCAATTTTACCAAATTAATAAAATGAGTAACTTTAAGACCATATCAGAACGAATGAGGAATAAGAATAAAAATAGGTAAATAGAAAAAAGATTATCAAGGATAAACCAGTAAAAAAAATAATGTGATCTCCAAAACAAACTTATCCATGCATATGTATATACAGGTCATATAAAACTAATAATATGGATATGTGCATATATGAGAGAAGTATATCTATATTCGTATGTATGTTTCTAAAGTGCTTAACAAAGAAATGTTGTTGTTGGTGTTGGCTGGTCTTGGTCAGCTAATTACTCTGCCGGGTGTGTACCGAGCATTCATCTACTTCCTTTAGTTTGAGGTCTATGTACGACGGTGGTCAATGGAGTGGGTTTGTAGTTCGATCGTTGTTTGATATCCGATGATAGCAAATTCAAACTGTAGTAGGCCCATCTTGCACTATGTTACTGGCGCTCTAAACAAATAAAAAAGTATGCATCGCCGCAGTGGCATATGCATTAGCAAACATATATACAAATCCAGTGGTATAAAGTAAAGGCTGTAGTTACAGTAGGCAGTCTTTTTTCTCTCCACCCTGACACGGCAGTCTCCATAGTACCAGCTGTTTTTGCGACTTTTGCGAAATCCAATAGTTTCGTTTGCAGCTGTACGTAGGGAGTTTGCGATGCCGTCCCACAGTTCCCTTATGCCGGATTGCTGATGAGTACTCTCAGATTGTAGGAATGCAAGTCGAGTAGAAAGCCGCACAGCAATCTGTTGTGATTGCAGCTTTTCGAAGTCGAACATTCTTTTGGGTTTGTTGAAGGGGGTCCTTTGATACACAGAAGCGGATACATATCTTCGGTGCAACAAAATAGTGGTCTGATTCGATATTGGCACATGTACCCAGTCTTCCGTCTATCACAACATGATCGACCTGGAGACAGCGAATAGATTGGTGAAGTTTTTTGTGCCGGTATCAAGTGCAGTCTAATTGCAAAGTCTTTTCACCAGATGTGTGGCTGCGATCGGCCATCTTCTTCTCGTAAAAGGCATCTTCATTCAAATCATCCTTCTCTTTCGTCGGGGCGTGGACATAAATCAGCGTGGTGTTTCAGGTTTTCAGTGCTATTTTAATGTTGGGATATTATCAACAAATATAGAAAAAGTCGCAGATTATTATGATAGCTAAGCCAGGTAACAACGCAACCCTGCCGTCATCATATAGACCAATCAGCCTGTCGCCTTGAATACAAAAAATTTTCGAAAAAGTGCTGTTATCAGCAATTTCTCCATTTCTCCATCAAAACGGTATTATTCCTACACATCAATCTGGCTTTCGGGAAAAACATGACACAATTGAACAAGTAAATCGTATAACAAATGAAAAAAGGAAAGCTTTCGAATTGAGAGGACAATACCCGTTTTCGGCCGTTTTTCTTAATGTGGCGCTAGCCTTTGCGTAACCATCCGAACCATATGGCTAACACCTTGGCTCATGTAGCAAGTCGAACCCGTCTCCGGAGAAGAGAAAAATCAGCCTTCTAAAGAGCAACGTCAAGCCAGCTGCCCATTCCTACTAATGGGCTTTATGTTTTAATTTAGGTTAAGGTTTTATTACTTATTGTTAGGCTTCCGATATCGAAACAGATTCAATAAAAAAATATTAACATTAAAAAAGTTAAGCAACATATTTAAAATATTTTTTTCAGCTCATTTATTTCAAGCCAAAAATATCTTTGGAAGTAGAACCGGCTCTCCATCGTATGTACGTACGCAGTAGCCCTTGCGATTGATATTTCGGCATAACTTCCCCTCTTCTATAGAGTCAGGATATTTTGTTGCGTTAGCACTTACCTCTGATATCCTCTCTATTTACGATTTGCCGGGGCTGCTGTTTCTTCCTGCGTCACTAAAAGGAATTGTTCCTCTTGAGACTTGAGGGATAACTTGAGTAACAGCTGATCAGTCGCGATCGTAAATCTATAGCCTCTAAGATATGGTTTCCTCTTACGTATCGCTTGCATGATGGTCTGCGAGACGTTGTATTTGCTGTTCGATGGGTGTACCCATGATAATAACGTAAGTAAGTGCTTTAAGTTTTCAGGTTCCTCTTCTTGCCTGCAACTTCTGCAAAAGTCGTTAGATGGTGCGCCCAACCTCCTTAAGTATCTGTCCAAAAGAAGACCTTCTTCGTCTTAAGAAGAATTATAACTATAGATTTTTCATTTCCTTCTTCTTGGGCGCCATATATCACGAACACAGGTTTATCGCTGGGGTTATAAAGGTAGAAGAGTTGGATCGGAAACTATTAATTATTGCTCATGTTTTTTGTTTGTGTAATTGGCAAAAGAATGTTCTAATAAGAAATCTTTTTTTTTGCAAATGTAGATAATATATTATATAACAACTGAAGTGTAATACATTATTTTATCGAACATAGAACTGTAAATTCGCCTTGAGACCGCCTCAACATTTTTCTAGCTAAAAAACCTTAATTTATTTTACTGTTATTGCCGAAAAAAAAATGATTTTTTATTTTTAATTTCATTTAAATATCTATCAACAAATGTGCTTGTCTTAGTATTTTTTTATGTTTCAATAAAAATTAATATACTTATTTTGAATTTCATGGAAATATTATTACCAGAGCGATGGGTCAGTTTATGGTTATTAAATTTAAATTTAATTTTCCAATTTAAAGCAATAATTTTTCTTTAGATTTCGGCTTATTTGAACCTTGTAAATTGGACAACTTATCTGAAGCGCGTCCAGAAGATGCGTGGGAGTACAAGCCTTGTCAGAAGAAGTTTGTTATGAGACCCGAAGACGAAATAAGTATAGACAGTATAATTTCTGCCTTGCTGTCAATGGTCGAACCTATTGAAGAGCAGTTTAAGGAATGCCAATGGGATATTACAGCTAAGGAAATTTACAATGAAAAGCAATCCTTGCTCTTCGAAGAAAAGCTGTATATCTCGCAACTTAAGACTGGCTCATGTAAGCTAAATGAAGACAGCAAAATATTTTTGGAGAATGAGCTGAATGAAATCGGTTATATGAAACTCAATATAGAGGAAAGTTATGACGGTTACGTTGTATTCAGCCGTAGTCAAATGACAAAGGGAAACGGAAAAAGCATGTGTGGTCATTGTTTGCGAGGAAAATATGATGATAAATTCCTGTTGATTGTTGAGAAACGCACTGAATTCGATTACATAGATAAAGCCAGAATCGTAAGTTTTTAATTCTATTCAAAGCTTTGCTATTACTTTTCTTTGAACAGTTGTTTATACTAATCCAAAAACGAAGATAATAATGTCGTCCACTACTTTGATCTGATAATGTGCTTTTAATTAATTATATTCTGCTGGCGGAATGCGGAATGTCATGATTTCGAACCCAGGCGAGACTAATATCTAAAATAGTTTTAATATTAATTAATTTCATATTAATATCTAAAATAGTTTTAATATTAATTAATTTAATATTAATTAAAACTATTTTAGATATTAGTCTCGCCTGGGTTCGAAATCATAACCTTTTTATTGCGGCTCCCGCTCAACCACTCCGAGTGCACTTTACACATTAAAT